GAGCCCTCCTCCACCACTTTGGAGAGAAGAGGCCTGAGCAAACACAGCTAATGAAGTCTTAACAAGCAGCCCCGGGTTAGCGTGAGTCTCCTAAATGCCATCGAAGCTCTTGGAATTGTGTCCAGCAGATTAGCTAAATCTCCTCAAAGCTTTGCTTTACAAGATAAAGTTGTATTAGCATATCTCTGTCCCACCATCTTTGAGGGAAGTCCAGGATCTGGCAAGCAGTCACACTTGTGGGCTTCCTTTCATTAGCACCAGCACTTGATTCTTTGAGGGCCTTTAAACTGAACACATTAACTCGGGATCTTGACATGATCGTGGATTTTATTTATTGGTTGGAGAGCATTTCTTTAAGCCCCTTGGTCTTGGGGAGATGTTTTCTCACAGTAAGCCATATGTGGTGCCTTGAAAACAGGAGATGAGTGCACTTCCTTGAAGTAAATCATTATGTGTGTCCAGAGCAATCTCAACGCCCTGAACTCTTCCTGCATCACTCTCCCACACTGTGACCAGCACCTTACCCTCACTCCCTTTTTCATTATGTGTCCTTTATCACACATCACAAATTCCAGGGTTAATTATTGAGAAGATATCTACAGTATGCTGTACACAAACACACACTCACATACCTCCATGAAACTGGCTAGCTTAGCTTTTGTTTCCTTAAAAAAATAGCTATTTGCAGAGTCCCTTACTTGTTATCTTAGCCCACAAGTCTTTGGTGTTCTGTAGGGAAAACAAAATGGGCCTCACAAAATAACGCTGAAGTTGACTCCAAAAACCAATAAATACAAACTAAAAATGCTAGGCTGCCAAGACCAAAGTGGACTGCTGTGATCTTAAAACAGCTTCAGTCTCAAATATTTCCAAGCAGTTCATTCGAATGCTGTTTTAGAAACATTTAACGATGTCAATTTAACATTTTTATGTAGAATTATGTGGTTATTTGCAAGTGCAAGTGGCAGCATGGGATGTAAAGGGGTAAAAMGTAACATTCACGTATAAAACTTCAAAGACTGTAAGTGGTCTTGCTTGGATGAAGGGCCCAACAGTCGATGTGTGGTTGTACGACATCCATTTTCACACACAACTTYCATAGGCCCCTGCGACACACCACACCGAGCTTCAGGGAAACCGCTCCCAATGCGGGATACGTCACAGCACAGCTCCACACTTTTCTGCTAACAGATTCCTCCGTCCACGTCAGTTTCATCTCAATCCAATAGTTTCTTGGCCTTTTGACTATCTTTGTAAATGTCTGCTTTTGGGTCAAACAGTCAGATTCTGGAAATTAGTACTTTTGGGGGACTTTCAGAAGCAAGTAGTTTAAGCACAGTGCAGCTTTCAGCATTAACAAATGTGCCCACGAACTCCTGACCAATCACACAATAAGTTCTTATGTGGAGGAGGGTGAAAAGTTCTCCTGGCAGGTTGTGACAACAAGAGGTGTCRCAATTTTCTTCATGCGACTGCGACAATAAAAGCTGATTTTGGCAGTTTGGATAGAGTATGTAGAGATCTTGGTCGTCATTACCTTGTCAATGATGCACCACTTTATCCAGTGATTACAGAAATGTTTTGGAATACCTGCCTGAGGTTCCCCACAATCTGCACTAGATGTGCTACAGCTGAGTTCCTGGCATAAGCTCATACCCTTTATTAAAAAAAATAAAAGCTCACAAATTCTAAAGTGTTTACAACTTTTTTACGGAACTCCAGTTCAAAACAGTATAGTTAGGGGGGGAAATATTTGTTTTCACCATCTGCTTTTATTATGGGACCACACCACTGTCTTTTAATCCAAACTTTACAGAAACTGAACAGGAGCGAGACTAAAAATCTTGAGTCAGATATACGTCTTTGTATCTGAATAAAGACTGAGTTTCACACAGATCAGCAGATCGCATGTCGGGCCTTGCCTTTCTTAGTTCACCTGGGAATGCACTATTATACCAAAAGCCTAATACAATTATAATAACATTATTACAGCAATCACACATCTGCTGAGTTTATTGGAGCATAACTTTATATAAATATTTATTATAATATCAAAGGCAAAAAAAAAGATCCTGGGCAGCATATTGGAGTGATGTCTGAGTAACATTCCAGGCCAAACATCTGAGAGACAATTGCAAATAATTGTTTCTAATGCCGAGTGAAAAGTTTGAAGATGGATTTTTTTCCCCCAATATTTTACCCCTTGCAGCAAAATTGGATTTTGCATGAAGACGCTTTTGAGCTCTTTTATTGTAAGAGAAAATTAGTTCAAGAAGAATACAACAAAAAGCAGGCAGTGTTAAGAAAATTTCCTCAAGGTATGTGTGAAATACAGAAGTGAAGCATGTAGCAGAAAAGCTCACGAGCTACATACTGTGGTAAATTTTATGACTCTGTGTTGTTTTTTGGAACTTTTTTGTTTGAGGAGTATTTTCTGAGATGCAATGCTATTAGATGAAGAAACAAAATAGCATCAGATTAGATGTGTTCTTGCATAAAGGTATTCAGACTAGTCTCTCTTCTCTACATGTTTATTGTAATTAGTTCTATCATGTTTTTTCTTTGTCTCTTCCAGAAGTAGGCGCACCTGGACCAGCCCTGGACCAGTTCTTCTGTGTTTGTCTGTGTCTCTTTCCTGTCCTCCAACCAGCCGGTCGAGGCAGATGGCCGCCTGTCCTGAGCCTGGTTCTGCTGGAGGTTTCTTCCTGATTAGCAGGGAGTTTTTCCTCTCCACCGTTTGCTCAGGATGGGAGACTGTGATGAAGTGATTCAACACAATCTGCTGCTTTCTTCTTTAGATTATTCTTTTTATGTACTGTGCCCTGAGACAACGTATGTTGTGACTTGGCGTTTTATAAATAAACTGAATTGAATTGAATTAGACAATAAAAAATTTCAATGAAAGGGCCTTTGTCGGCAAGAATCCAAAAAGTTAGAACATTTCAAAAACTCTGTTTCTGTGAAATCTCAAGGTTAAAATAACAACAAAAGAAGAAAACATTTAGCAACAAAGTTGTGTTTCACAGTTTGCGGACTCACTCTTTCTTGGACCTACATCCGTAGCTTGCTGTAATCCCTGTGATATTGCAGAAACCAGAAAAACAGTACAGTAAGGAATGTCTTTTTCATGAGTTTTCAAACTAAATTATTGAGAACAATATAMTATGCTAATTTTGTAAGATAAACCAATGTAAATTCAGTTACATGAAAACACATGAATAAATCCAATCAGTGCCCATGCTTTGCTCAGAGTGCAGCATTTCTGTCTGCTAACAGTTTACTGTTCATGTTATGTGTAGCTTGCTAACTGTATAGCTCTCGTGTGTTTTTGTTTGGTTTTGTACTGTATTACGAAGCCACCCCAAATGAAATGAAATGTACTGGACCGCAACTAATATTGATGTGTTTTTTTTTTTTTTTTCACAGTTCGTGTGTAGCTACTCTAACAACATAACCCACGTGCCCCCCAACAAAATCAGGGCTTCGCTGTATTCAAAAAGCCTGTTCTTGTGTGGACAGGTTAAGATACAAAACTAAACTTCGAAATGGCTAAAATTTCACAAAACTGTCTGGTTCACAGTTTACAGAAACTCGAGGCAGATTAGTTTTGTTTTAAGAGGTTATTTTGGAAGGACGGGGGCATTTACCACAGCAGGATTACTGTCACATTACAGCAGAGATCTCTGTCAGGCTGGGGACATGAGAGGTCTCTGCGCGCTCCTGGCTTCACGCAATTACACCTCCCGCGGAGCTCCATGCAAGCTGTTAAAAGGAAACATAAGCACCTCATTTAAAACTGAAAAACTGCGTTTCACAGCCACAAACGGCGCCCTGAGAAGTCCCATCACGCCCAAATGAGCCAATTTACCAAAAATGACCTCTCTCTTCTCTTTCACACAGAAACAGTTCATCTTTTTCTCTCTGATGTTATTTGTTTTTAGCTGCTGAAATGTGAAGACAGTTTTTTTTGTCTGTGTCTGTGTGTGTGAAAGTGTTAGCAAAATATCGCATGAGTCACAAGTCAAATTTTACCAAAAACTTGCAGAATGTAATTATTGGATGAACATCTACAGCTGATTAACTTTAGGAATTTACCCAATTCAAGATGGCTGATACAATCAACTGRCCATAAAACCCCATGATATTGCTCTAAATCAGGCAGTTTTACAGATATTGCCCTAACACCTGGTGTGGTAGTAGCTGAGAGTGATTCCCAAAATATAATCTGAGCATTAACATATTGCACCAGGTCTTTGTTTAAAATTCTGCCATTAAACATCTTTCAGCCAACTCTGTCTGTCTGTTAGCAAAATTTCTCATGAACCATTGAATGGATTTTATTGAAATTTTAATGTAATAATATTTGACTAAATGTCTACAACTGATTAACTTTAAAAGCCAACTCACTTCAAGATGGTTGCCACAGCCAACTGACCTTAGAAAACAGAAAAATGCTCATAACTTTACCAATTTTATAGATACTGATGTAAAATTTGGTGAGGTAGTAGCTGAGAATTGTTTATTCAAAGGGCCATTCAATGCAAGAGACCTTTGCTTAAATCTCCAACATTTAATGTTAGAGTCAACTCTGTTTGTCTGTTAGCAAAATATCTCATGAACCAACAAAAMACTTTTAGTGAAATTTTCAGAAAATGATCATTGGATAGATATTTATAACTGAACAACATCTGGTGTCAATTCAATTTGAGATGTCTACAACAGCTAACGTATATTGTCAAACACATACATGGTTATACATCAGTCACTYTCACAGATATTGAGTTAAAAATTGATGTAATAGGAGCTGAGAGGTTTTTGCCTCACAGATTCTGAGTACATGAGATTATTTTTATTTTAAGTCTGACCAAAACAGCTACAACTCATGTCTCAACATGAAATTATTTTAGTGTAAAATTATGGCATGAAAAGTGGAGGGTGATATGCATTACCTCAATACATTCTGAGCTTTTATTTTGAAATAAACAGATTTCTAGAGAGAGAGAGAGAGAGAGAGAGAGAGAGAGAGAGAGAGAGAGAGAGAGAGAGAGAGAGATCCTGAGCTGTGGAAGTAAACACTGAATGAGTGAAAGGGGGGAAGCACCGCCCCCGCCGCTCTGTGATTAGAGGAGCTGCTCCGGGGCGGGGGGTGTCTCCTGCCGGTTCCTATATATCAACACGGTTTTCAACGGAGAGCATGAGATTGTATGAGAACTAGAACTGAACCCGGACCAGCTGCGTGTTGGGAGGCAAAACCAAAACAAAAACCRAAGCGGCTGGTGTGCGCACGGATCGGGTTGTTTGTGTCTGCAGATACTGGACGGAGCCATCTTGCCTCCTTCCTTCTCCTCCTCCTCCTCCTCCTGGCACGCTGAACTCCGTGCAGGATCCCGAGGCGGGCAGAGATGACGGGTTCGGAGCGCAGCCTGAACCTCTAACCGGACCGGGTTAGCGCCGCCGAGACGAGACCACCACCACCATGGACCCGGTCGRGTTCTACCTGCTCCTCTCGCTCGCCCTCCTCCCCCGATCCAGTTGCACCACGGCCAAGGAGATCACCTGCCAGGAAATAGCCGTGCCCCTGTGCAAGGGGGTCGGCTACAACTACACCTACATGCCGAACCAGTTCAACCACGACACGCAGGACGAGGCGGGACTGGAGGTGCACCAGTTCTGGCCTCTGGTGGAGATCCAGTGCTCGCCGGACCTGAAGTTCTTCCTGTGCAGCATGTACACCCCGATCTGCCTGGAGGACTACAAGAAGCCGCTGCCGCCGTGCCGGAGCGTGTGCGAGAGAGCCCGGGCCGGCTGCGCGCCCCTCATGAGGCAGTACGGCTTCCCCTGGCCGGACCGGATGAGGTGCGACCTTCTGCCGGTGCAGGGCACCCCGGACACCCTGTGCATGGACTACAACAGGACGGAGTCCACCACCGCGTCCCCCCTGCTCTCCAAACCCACCAACCACCCGAAAGGCGGCGGCGGCGCTAAGAATAAACCGGGACGCGCCGGCGCCCCCGGGAAACCCAAGCCCCCCGCGGCGCCATGCGAGCCGGGCTGCAGGTGTCTGGAGCCCATGGTCCCGGTRAACACGGACCGGCACCCGCTTTACAACCGGGTCAAGACGGGACAGATCACCAACTGCGCCATGCCGTGCCACAACCCGTACTTTACGCACGACGAGCGCGCGTTCACGGCGTTCTGGATCGGACTGTGGTCCGTGCTGTGCTTCGTGTCCACCTTCGCCACCGTGGCCACCTTCCTCATCGACATGGAGCGCTTCAAGTACCCGGAGCGACCCATCATCTTCCTGTCAGCCTGCTACATGTTCGTCTCCAGCGGGTACATCGTCAGGCTGATCGCCGGCCACGAGAAGGTGGCGTGCAACCGGGACCTGGACCTGGAGCACATCCACTACGAGACCACCGGACCCGCGCTGTGCACCGTGGTCTTCCTCCTCATCTACTTCTTCGGCATGGCCAGCTCCATCTGGTGGGTCATCCTGTCCCTCACCTGGTTCCTGGCCGCCGGGATGAAGTGGGGCAACGAGGCCATCGCCAGCTACTCGCAGTACTTCCACCTGGCCGCGTGGCTCATCCCCAGCATGAAGTCCATCGCGGTGCTCGCGCTCAGCTCCGTGGACGGGGACTCGGTGGCCGGGATCTGCTACGTGGGCAACCAGAACCTGGACAACCTGCGGGGCTTCGTGCTGGCCCCGCTGGTCATCTACCTCTTCATCGGCACCATCTTCCTTCTGGCCGGCTTCGTGTCCCTGTTCCGGATCCGCAGCGTGATCAAGCAGGGCGGCACCAAGACGGACAAGCTGGAGAAGCTGATGATCCGGATCGGGATCTTCACGGTGCTGTACACGGTGCCGGCCACCGTCATCGTGGCGTGCTACTTCTACGAGCAGCACAACCGGCCGCGYTGGGAGCTGACGCACGTCTGCTCCGGCTGCCTGCTGGAGCGGGACCGCCGCAGTCCGGACTACGCGGTCTTCATGCTGAAGTACTTCATGTGCCTTCTGGTGGGCATCACGTCCGGCGTGTGGATCTGGTCCGGCAAGACCGTGGACTCGTGGAGGACTTTCTGCACGCGGTGCTGCTGGGGGAGCAAAGGCACCGGCGGCTCCATGTACAGCGACGTGAGCACCGGGCTGACGTGGAGGTCGGGCACGGCCAGCTCCGTGTCCTGCCCCAAACAGATGCCACTGTCCCAGGTCTGAGTGGGGGGCGASGGGGGTGCAGATTGTTAAGGAGGTTACCCCCCTCCCCTCCCCCTCATGCATCAGTGGTACAAACTGGGCATTATGGATGTTGTGGGCACAGACAGCTCTGCTTCCAGCCTCACATAATAAGCATTTTATKACCATGTTTTATGTGGCAAATAACCTTTGTGTTCAATCCCTCACAGCAAAGGGTGAGTTCAATTACAATGGGAGTTCAGAAATTATAAAGTTGGGTTCTGTGACGTGGTTATGAGCAGTCACTATCTTACCTGCTGTAGATGGCTTTTTTAAACGCTCTCATTTGGCAGAACTGAGAATTTCGGTGAGACTGGATCGATGAGCTGATGGCTTAATTAGGTTTTCACCCCAAAAATTTGAACGTAAACAAAAATCYGCACCGTTTTTACTCCTCATATTGACGGATTATGTGCTCTTAAGATAAAAAGTTTGTAAACAATATTTGGGAATGAGCCACATGTTTGTTTTCCTAGAAAGAGACAAAGTGGGTTAAAATGTGTCCTTCTAGGAAAAAGAAAAAAATTGTATAGATCTTCTGGACGGGTTCTTCTCTAATGAAACGTTTCGTCTCTCCTCCAAGAGACTTCTTCAGTCTGAGAGTTTCAGGCAAAATTCAGGCTTTTAAGCYCTGCCTCCATGTGACTGATACTCACATCACATGGCTGTCGTGTGATGTGAGTGATGATATGGCTATTTTTACCTGGATAACTGAGATGCATCAGGACATCCTTCTAGGAAAGTTGTTTTTAAAGATGTTTATGTCTGACAGCTGAGTTTTGTCTACAGATCTGTGTGATCCTCAGTATTTATTCTTGACAGCTGTCTGCACCCCCCCCACCCCCACCCCACCGCATTTCTCAGCAGCTGCACTTTTTTCCACCTCTTCTCCGAGATTTGTCCAGTTTGGCCACATTTTTTTTATTTATTTTTTTATTTTCTTTACCTACACAGACTTACAGCTGCCTAATAGGTCAGTCATATGACTCCAAACTTGTTTTTTTTTTTGTTTGTTTTGTTTTCATTCAGCTGAGTGCTTTGTTTACATTGAGTGCGGACCCGCATTCCAACATTGCATTCAGTATATTTGGAACAAAACTGCTGGAGTAAACATTACCAAAATGTATCATTTGATGTAGTTCAGGACAACATTTTGTTTGGCTTCATAACTTGCAGTGAGAAGTTTGACGTGAGCAGAAGWCAGTATCTCACTCAGCTGTAACTGTAAGTGTGAGGAAATACAGAAATGGTCAGTTGGGATCACATTGAATTGGTMCTTACTGTGTAATTAATCACTAAAATTGAAAAGCAGTCCACAAATATTTTACTTGTGAACTTTTACTTAAACATGTTTTTTTAATAGTCCACTGTGAATTTTAAAGGCAGATAAAAAAAAAACATTGCAGTATTCCTGTTGGATTAGTGCTACAGGTAGCTAAAACTTCCATAAAATAATAAAACTGTGCTCTATGAAATTGATGGTGATATAAAGGTTTACAAAATAGTGCTTGCTGAAGCTGCCAAATTTTTATCACCTCTCATTTTGATTGCAATTTATTCTTTTTTTTTTGTCTCAGTCGAAAATTTGTTATTTTGTTGAACTTTTGTTTTTTGTAGATTTGTGTCACATTTATTGCCTTTTCCGACTCGCTGTTTAAATTGCTTTACATCACCATCATTTCTAGATCACATGGCTATTTACACAACACTTTAAAGACAGTTGAAAGTGCGGACAGTGACGACAGCAACTAGCTGTAGCACTAACCCTGACAGGAAATACTTAAGTATTTGTGTTTGAGAGTAATTATAAAACTGTCAGAGGCGGATGGGGTTAGAAAACAGTATTCGTGTGAACGTCCAGGAAGTTTTCCTGAGGTTAAAGGAACAAAAGATCTGCTTAGTTCTGCTCCGACTAGCCATTAGCTCRTCGATCCAGTCAGTATATTTCTTTAAACTGTTTCAACAGAACTGTTTAAAGCTCAAGGCTGTGGGAACTGTGGGCGCTGAAGGTGCTACAGCACCCTGGAACATCATTTTAAAAATAAATTAATTCATAAAGGAACAAAAGAGTGAAGGAATAATCATTTTAAAACATCTGTGTGTTTTATTTAGCTTCATATTTCAATTAAATGATGCGAAAGTGACTCACTGATGGCCAAMATCACTTCTTCAATCACGTTAGGCGTTCCCACGGCAATATTTGTTCAGAACCTTTCCACAGCGCCCCACTTTAAAAGATCCGGAACGACCCTTTAAGCCTTAAAAGTGCCCAAGTATTTTTTTACAGGTCCTCCTTTTTTATATTTTGAAATTGTATTTATATAAAGCTAATGTATAAAGAAAAGTGTATATTTATGTATAGAAGAAAAGTTTATAAGAAAAAAATGTAAAATTGTACAAAGTGTAGATGTCTTTTTTGTTTGTTTGTTTTTCTGAGAGCAAATCAGACCTTTATTTTGACAATAAAACTTTGGATAAATCTGCTTTGTGTAGCTCGCTGCAGTGTTTCACCCCTCACCCCCACCCCTGTGCGGGAGCCGGGCCTGCTCTGCACCCTTCAGGGGCACAGTTTGTGGTTCTCTGGTGGTCACCAGTGTGGAGGAAGGATGGAGGCAGCAGCAGCTCTCTAAGAGTCCCGGGCGGCTCAAAATGGAAGCCACCCACCCACC